TAGTAGTAAGGCCAGGGGCCCCTAGTAGCGTCCTTGCTCCTAGTAGTACGGCGAGAACCCCCTAGTAGCGTCCTTGCTCCTAGTAGTAAGGCCAGGAGCCCCCAGTCGGCCCCTAGTAGCGTCCTTGCTCCTAGTACAGTAGTAAGGCCAGGAGCCCCTAGTAGCGTCCTTGCTCCAGGAGCCCCCAGTAGCGTCCTTGGTCCTAGTAGTAAGGCCAGGAGCCCCTAGTAGCGTCCTTGCTCCTAGTAGTAAGGGCAGGAGCCCCTAGTAGCGTCCTTGCTCCTAGTAGTAAGGCCAGGAGCCCCTAGTAGCGTCCTTGCTCCTAGTAGTAAGGCCAGGAGGTTCCTAGTAGCGCCCTTGCTCGTGGTAGTAAGGCCATGAGCCCCTAGTAGCGTCCTAGTTGCGTCCTTGCTCCTAGTAGTAAGGCCAGGAGCCCCTAGTAGCGTCCTTGCTCCTAGTAGGGCCAGGGGCCCCTAGTAGCGTCCTTGCTCCTGGAGTAAGGCCAGGAGCCCCCTAGTAGCGTCGTTGCTCCTAGTAGTCAAGCCAGGAGCCCCTAGTAGCGTCCTTGCTCCTAGTAGTAAGGCCAGGATCCCCTAGTAGCGTCCTTGCTCCTAGTAGTAAGGCCAGGAGGCCTAGTAGCGTCCTTGCTCCTAGTAGTAAGGCCAGGGGCCCCTAGTAGCGTCCTTGCTCCTAGTAGTACGGCGAGAACCCCCTAGTAGTAAGGCCAGGAGCCCCTAGTCGGCCCCTAGCAGCGTCCTTGCTCCTAGTACAGTAGTAAGGCCAGGAGCCCCTAGTAGCGTCCTTGCTCCTAGTAGTAAGGCCAGGAGCCCCTAGCTGCGTCCTTGCTCCTAGTAGTAAGGCCAGGAGCCCCTAGTAGCGTCCTTGCTCCTAGTAGTAAGGCCAGCCCCTAGTAGCGCCCTTGCTCCTAGTAGGGAGCCCCTAGTAGCGTCCTTGCTCGTAGGAGGAGCCCCTAGTTGCGTCCTTGCTCCTAGTAAGCCCCTAGTAGTCTCCTTGCTCCTAGTAATAAGGCCAGGAGCCCCTAGGAGCCCCTACTAGCGTCCTTGCTCCTAGTAGTAAGGCCAGGAGCCCCTAGTAGCGTC